GGAGAGAGAGAGAGAGAGAGAGAGAGAGAGAGAGAGAGAGAGAGAGAGAGAGAGAGAGAGAGAAATGGATTGCTGGGAGAAGGAGAATGAAGAGGGGCGCGTGAGAATTGGGAAAGGAGGGGAGAGAAGGGCGGCAGAAGCCACAGTAGGATGGGGGAAGGAAATAATTAGAAGAGGCGCAGAGCGACAGCGCGGGTGGAGTTGGAGGAAGTGGAGGAGGGGGCGCATGGCACAATGTCATGGGAGGTAAGGGAGAGTCGAGGGGTAAGGATGGTACAGTGGCAAAGTGGAAGAGTGGGAGGGATAGCTGTACATGTCATGGATGGGGAAAAGATGGGGGGACGGGGAATGGGGCAGGGCTAAGGTGGAGTGTGGATGGCCCAGAATCACGCCGCGTGGCAGCGCCACAATGAGCGATTTTTCTCTATTTCTTTTTGTCCCCCCTTATGTGTGCTTTTGTGTGTGTGTGTGTGTGTGAGAGAGAGAGAGAGAGAGAGAGACGGGGGAAGGGAGGAGGATTAGGGGGAGTCGGCGGCGGGGGCGGGAGGTTAAAGGTGCGCCTTTTGTGTCTCTTTTTTTGTGTGTGAGAGAGTGATAGAGACGGGGAAGGGAGGACGGTTACTGGAGAGTCAGCAGTGGGATGCGTGCGCACGCGCGTGGAGTTGGCGGCGGGGGCGGGAGGTTAAAGGTGCGCCTTTTGCGTCTCTTTTTTTGTGTGTGAGAGAGTGATAGAGACGGGGAAGGGAGGACGGTTACGGGAGAGTCAGCAGTGGGACGCGCGCGCCCCAGAGAGAGAGAGAGAGAGAGAGAGAGAGATGTGGGAGTCAATGAGGATTCGGAGGCAGTCGGTCGACGAGGATTAGGAGGAAGTCGGGGGCTGGGGGGGAAGTTAAAGGTTCATCATGCTTTATTGCCTTTTTCTTTTCTCTATTTTTTTCTGTACGTGTGAGAGAGAGTGAGAGATAGATGGGGGAAGGGAGGAGGGTGAGGGGGAAGCCGGCGAGGTGGTGGGAGGTATAGCCGCGCTAAGTGCCTGGATGTCTTTTGTCTTTTGTCTTTTGATTTTTTTTATTT